ACCTTGGTCGTTTTAAGTATGAGAGTTTAAGCAAAGGGGTTTATAACCTTTCCGGATTTGTTTCACGACTCGACATGTACAGTATATCCGTTATCTCATTGCACTCACATATACTGTCCTGCCCTACATAGGTTTAAGCTGTTCACCACTCCATCGTAGCTTTGTACATCTGACATGTACACATCTTCACATAATACTGAGAGAAATGGATGGTTAACAATGCAACTGTTCTCTCAAATAACAACTGAGACACTTATAGAGACAGTGATACTAGAAGAGTCATAGATGAAACAAGTGTCTTACCTCAAACAAATGTCGCCTGACTGTCGGTATAGCTAAGAGCACAACAATTGTGACATTTTCAAGCTTGTCAGATATTGCATGAATCCCCACTACATAGCTATATGCCCGGGTATATACAGGCGACAAAACCATGTTCATATCCATATAGAGCGTCAATCTCCACTATCCAACGAAAAAGGTTCAATTTCGTGTAAAAAGTGCAAAAGCTGTGAGAAAGGTAAATTGATTGAAAGATGTCATTAATAACAAACAGTAATGAGAACAAGATAAACATGCATGGATGTATAGATCTAAATACGATACGGAAGAGTAAGTGAGTGAGTTAAGATTTAAAGTCACATCGGCAATATGTCAGCCATATCGTGACTAGAACTAGTTCTAAATTTATAATACATACATATAATATACAAAACCCTGTCAACGAAGGACAGTAAAACCACTAGATTATCACAGATTGAGTTAAAACTAGCTAGCATATATCTTTAAAAGCAGAAAGTTATTACTGGACAATACAATGTAAAATTGGGCTATAGATCGCCAACAACTGAAGGTAGATCACCATACTAGGGACCATGGGGACTTACAGTGCCTTTGCTACCTGCATGGACCCTAGTTGGATTTACACCATCCCTTCAGCCGCTGGCGATTGTAGGACAAGTTAAGCCGAAATTTAAAGGAACAAATATACTACGTTTAAAAATCGGGTAAGCAAAAAAAATTAACTTTGAAAGTTTTGGGACTTACGTACCCTCTCAGAACAATAATTTTACGCTACTTCAACCCCCTCTGAGGATACAGCCACTAACAATCTCAGTTAAGAATCTAAACTACCAATAATAAATTATGTATCTATTTACAAATCAGTTAACAAGGCTTATCTTCATTAAAATGCAATAATTAAATGAGAACTTATATTACTAAAAAAGATCCTTCTTAGTTTGTGATTTGAAATAGATATCCCTTGTGATGGAATATTCATCACAGTCAAGCAGGACATGCTTGACCGTGATTCTTTCATCACAAGGGATACAAAACGGAGGATCCTCACCTTTTAATAGGTACTCATGAGTATATCTTGTATGGCCAATGCGAAATCGTCGCATGATGACCTCTTCAGATCTGGATTGACAACCCAAGTAGGTGTAACCAATATGGGGTTTTATTTCATATAATTTATTAATACCCACCTGGGTGTCCCACTTCGTCTGCATCAGATCACGGATGTGAGTTCTAATGCTAGCTTTGTAATCAGAGTATGGAATAAAAAGTGGTGTCACAGATTAATTGAGTGCTGCCTTAGCAGCAAGATCAGCCAGTGTATTCTCAGAAATGCCAACGCGGCTTGGTAACCAACAAAAGACGATGTCGCATTGGCCAGTAGCAAGCTCATTATAAAATAATTTCTAATAAAAGTGGATTTTAACAAGAAAGATTTTTAATAGCCTGAAGACCCGAAAGAGAATCAGAAAAGATAATGTATTGTTTACATTTACGGTGTTTATTTATATATTTAAGAGCTATTAATATGGCGTTAGCTTCTGCTGTGAAAATAGAGCTATTATTTGGTAGTCGAGAAGATATTGTTCTGGATCCAATGACAGTGGCACAAGCCACCGCACCACCATCCTTGGATCCATCAGTAAATAAGGATCTATATGTATTATATTTATTTCTTAATTGACTAAATTCGTGTTTATACTGTAAAATGTGGTTAATGTAGAGTCAATGTCTGGCCTCACCAATTGCCAAGGGGGAGAAGAAAGAAGACGAGAAGGAGATATATTCTCCAGCTCAATTCCGGCAGCAGCAATGAGTGGTTTAATTCTGTGTCCAAGAGTTGGAACAAGAGAAGACTTTTTGTTATACAAATCCTCATAAAGAGGATTGAGGACACAGTTAAATGCAGGGTTAGATTCGTTAGAATATAGTTTCGTAATATATTGTAAAGATACTTTTATACGGCGTTGGGTAAAAGAAGGTTCATCTGCCTCGACGTAGAGACTATCAACTGGATAAGTTCTAAATGATCAAAGACAAAGTCTTAGACCTTGGTGGTGAACAGAATCAAGTAGTTTAAGGTTGCTTTTGCAGGCTCCGCCATATACGATCGAGCCATAATGAAGTTTAGATCGCATCTATGATCTGTATAAGAGAAGGAGGGGAGTTTGATCCCTTCCCCACTTTGAATTGGAGACAACCTTTAACAAATCGAGTGTCTTCAGGCATTTAGTTTTAAGGGATTTAATATGTGGCAGGAATGTTAAATGGGAATCGAAAATTAGGCCCAGGAATTTGGCCTCCTTTACAACTTTGATGGGAGTGCCATTTAAAGATAGTTCTGGGTCCCTATGAGGCTTATATTTTCTATAATATTGTATACAATTAGTGTTTGACTAAGAAAATTTAAAGCCGTTTTCAAGACATCATTTATTTATTTTGTTTAAACATAACTGCAGTTGCCATTCAATAGTATGCATATTTTTACCACGACAAGAAATTTTGAAATCATCCACAAATAATGATCTATCAATTGAATCATTTAAAACCGTTGATAAACTATTGATCTTGATGCTAAACAGTGTGACAGACAAAATACCGCCTTGTGGGACACCCTGATCCTGATTATAATGATCAGACAGGGTTGAACCCACTCGGACTTGAAACTGCCTGTCTTTTAAAAACTGTGATACAAAAAGAGGCAAATGGCCTCTCAAACCAAAGTCATGTAAATCCCTCAAAATGCCATGCTTCCAGGTCGTATCATAAGCTTTCTCAAGATCAAAGAAAATTGATACAGCATGTTGTTTATTTACTATAGCATTTCTAACAAAGGATACTAAGCGTACCAAATGATCAATGATACTACAATTTTTCCTGAAACCACATTGAATATTTGTTATAAGGTTATTGGTTTCAAGATACCCAGTTAATCTATTATTCACCATTCGTTCCATGGTTTTACAGACACAGCTAGTTAGAGATATCGGTCTGTAATTAGACGGATCTGTATGATCCCTGCCAGGTTTTGGTATTACGCAACGAAGGAAGAAATTCCATATTTGGTCAAATATATCTAAAAGTGTCATCAGACATGGTTCCGGTAAGTGTTTCAGTAGCTGGTAATGTATATTATCATCACCCGCTGCAGTGTCATGAGCTTGCTCAAGAGCAGTATGTAGCTCATGTAATGAAAACACTTCGTTATAATCTTCACCTTTATTTGATTCGAAATTAAGTTTTGTCTTTCCTGTTGTTTCTGATATCTCTGAAACTAAGGGACATAATTTGCCGATGATGCAAGAGTTTCGCCAATTGTATTTGCAATTTTAGACTTGTCAGTAATTAAATTATCACCATCTTCAAGATGGTGAACAGATTTTGAACCTTTGCCTTTAATTCTTTGAACCATGTTCCATACCTTAGACATTGGCGTGCGTGAATTAATTTTGGAGACATAATTTCTCCAAGATTGTCGTTTGTTTTGTTGAAAGGTACAACGCGCCTTTGCATTGAGTATTTTAAATTTATTTAAATTATGGACAGTTGGATGATGGCAGAAATAACGCTCTGCCTATTTCCTCGCTTTTCTGGCTTGTCTACAACCTGTATGAAACCATGGTTTTCGTACATATGGAGTTGAAGAGGACTTTGGTATACACTCATCAGCTATTTCATTTAAAACGTCAGCAAAAGTTTGAATGGGATCAGTTATATCACTGAAACATTCAGGTCGCAGTGGTGATTTACACATAGTTTGATATCAGCCCCAGTTAGGCCTTCGAAAAAACGGACCAATCAAATTGATTGAATATGTTAGAATCTGCAAGAGACAAATCCAGAGAAGAGTAAGTGCCAGTTGCAGGATGTAGATAAGTGTTTGAATTATCATTATATATGCACAAGTCATTATTAGAAATGAAATCTTCTAGTATTTTACCTTTAGTATTAGTGTTGTTACTACCCCAGAGGGAGTTGTGACCGGTAAGGTCACCCATAATAACACAGGGCTTCGGAAGTTGATCATAGAGTGACTGAAGTTTAGTCTGCTGAAGTGTAGAGGAAGGTGAAATATACAGAGAGCATAATGTAAATGCTACACCCAGAGTAAGTCTCACTGCAACAGCTTGGAGATTAGTTGTAAGTACAACAGGACTATGAATAACATCTTCTCGCACAAGGATAGAAGATCCTCCAGTGGCCCTATCACCCAGAGGAGAAACATAATGATAGGCATTGAACTGACGTAAAGTAAGAGTATCTGTCTGTTTCAGATATGTTTCTTGCAGACAGAATGCTGATGATGTTAAATCCTGAACTAATAGCTGTAGTTCGTTAATATTCGTCCGTAGTCCTCTACAGTTCCACTGCACGATATTAGTAAAATGACCTATCTTTTAGGTTGATAGATAGGGGACCTACCCCTCACTTTTTTTATGGCGACAAGCTATGTGCCCGGGGATGGATGTTTTCTGACACATCCATCTCCTCGAGTGAGCCATATTTATTGAATAATTTTATTCGATTTTCTGAACCCTTGGGTGGTCTGCCACTCGTTTTCCCAGTTCCCGTTCTCGGTTTGACAGTACTTTTTGACTTCAAACTTGTTTCAGAACGAGTCTGTTCTGTAGATTGTGACACTGTGCGTTCTTCATCCTGAACTGTAGATATCATCATAGTGTTAACACTTGCTTCTGAAGTCTGAGTAGATTGCTCAGGCGTGAGAAGTTTAGGGTTATCAGTTTTAACCCAAGTCAGGCCTGTTTGACATTGAATTGACAAAGTGGATACTTTAGGCATGGTTTCGGAAGGTAATCTGACGACTGATGCATAAGTTTCGTTAGGTAGTGTTCATTCCACAATCTTTTTAGCATCAGTAAAGCTAATGTTTTGAGTGAATTTAACTTTGTTTATTTCCGTTTGCTTTTGCCATATTTTACAATCCTTGGAAAAGGATGAATGATTGCCTGAACAATTTGTGCATTTTTTTAAAGTACTATTGCAGTCTTCCGTCACATGAGACGTCTCGCTACAGTGAGCACACGTCACTTGCTTTGTACAGGTGTTAACACCATGGCCGTATTTTTGGCATCGAAAACACCTCAATGGATTTGGGATGTAGACTGCAACTGTGATAATACAGTAACCCACTTTAACAGACTGAGGGAGACTTGGAGATGAGAATGAAAATAGGTATGTGTTTGTTGTTTTGGCGGGTTGTAAATCGTTTGACATATGTCACAACCCGATCTTTCATTTCCGATACAATGTCCAGTTCTGACATGTCAGCTAACAAACGGTCTCTGTCTCTTATAATGCCTTTGCAGGTGTTGGGCAGTGACTGAAACAGGGATGCCAGCAAAAGTTTGCATTGTCAATAGGTTAGATGCCTGCTGTTTTCTATTGCACTCAATCAGTAGAGAGCCTGAACGCAAGCGTTTGATGTTCTTAACGTCGCCTGCAATGCCATATATCCCCTTAGAAATAATGAAAGGGTTCAACTTGAGTGGAGCCTTGTCAACAGTGTCAAGAACAAGGAAACATGGCAAATTTTCTGTTAGCGTGGATTCATTCTCTTCATTGTCATTGTCGAGTTGTCGTTTGGTCTTTTTCGAGGGAGGTTGGTAAGCCATGTTGAGTTAGTAAGTGTTTCATCATCCGAGCTCCCCACCCACCACAGAGTATCATAAAGACAGTCCTAATAACAAGTGGATCTCCGACTTGCAGCACCAGGGATACCCGGATGACATACTCAAGGAGAATGAATGAAAAAACAATTATTCTACCAGATTGGCCCATGAGCCATCGCCTTCTGGCACCGGTATCTAGGCAAATTTTCACACATTTGAAAATCCGTATATCACATGGTAGATACACTAAATAAAACATGTCAATATTGTGTCTAAATAAAACCAAGCCAAATAATATTCGAGTAATGAAACTTAGTGCTCAGGGCTCGGCATGACCAGCCGAATGGTTGAACCGGGCCCATTAAACCACCCGTCTCGGTGAGGTCAGGGGCGAAGTGGTGTGTCGGGCAAAGGAACACTGTTCCTGGAACCAGTGCCCTCAACCACCAGCCTCCCGCCCTCCACCGACACAGGGGCGCAACCCACGGCAAACAGGTTGGTGGACCAAATATCCCCCCGGGTCCACAACGGGGGGTTGAAGGGCGCTTAGCGTTACCCAGCACCCGCCACGAAGAGGTGGCTCTTCACGGGTGCCCCGCTAGAGTAAATGTCTGTCACTGGGACCGTGTGTGTACCGGTAGTGTATATGTCGGTCACTGTGGCAGTGAGATAGATGGATTAGATAGATCGTGAGTTGTCCTTAAGTGTAGATGTCTGTCACTGTGGGCGTGTGTTCCGTTAGTGTAGATGTCTGTCACTGTGGGCGTGTGTTCCCTTAGTGTAGATGTCTGTCACTGTGGCCGTGTGTTCCGTTAGTGTAGATGTCTGTCACTGTGGGCGTGTGTTCCGTTAGTGTAGATGTCTGTCACTGTGACAGTGTGTGTTCCATTAGTGTAGATGTCTGTCACTGTGACCGTGTGAGTTCCGTTAATGTATATGTCTGTCTCTGCAGACGTGTGTTGTCCGTTAGTTAGATGTCTGTCACTGCGGCCTCGTGTGTTGTCCGTTAGAGTAGATATCTGTCACTGTGACCGTGTGTGTTCCGTTAGAGTAGATGTCTGTCACTGCGGCCGTGTGTGTTGTCCGTTAGTTAGATGTCTGTCACTGCAGCCTCATGTGTTGTCCGTTAGTGTACATGTCTGTCACTGTGGGTGTGTGTTCCGTTAGTGTAGATGTCTGTCACTGTGGCCGTGTTTGTTCCGTTAGTGTAGATGTCTGTCACTGCGGCCGTGTGTTGTCCGTTAGTGTAGATGTCTGTCACTGTGACCGTGTGTGTTCCGTTAGTATAGATGTCTGTCACTGTGGGCGTGTGTTGTCGGTTAGTGTAGATGTCTGTCACTGCGGTCGTGTATTGTCCGTTAGTGTAGATGTCTGTCACTGTGGGCGTGTGTTCCGTTAGTGTAGATGTCTGTCACTGTGACAGTGTGTGTTCCGTTAGTGTTGATGTCTGTCACTGTGACAGTGTGTGTGTTCCGTTAGCGTAGATGTCTCTCACTGGGACCGTGTGTGTACCGGTAGTGTATATGTCGGTCACTGTGGCAGTGAGATAGATGGATTAGATAGATCGTGAGTTGTCCTTAAGTGTAGATGTCTGTCACTGTGGGCGTGTGTTCCGTTAGTGTAGATGTCTGTCACTGTGGGCGTGTGTTCCCTTAGTGTAGATGTCTGTCACTGTGGCCGTGTGTTCCGTTAGTGTAGATGTCTGTCACTGTGGGCGTGTGTTCCGTTAGTGTAGATGTCTGTCACTGTGACAGTGTGTGTTCCATTAATGTAGATGTCTGTCACTGTGACCGTGTGAGTTCCGTTAATGTATATGTCTGTCTCTGCAGACGTGTGTTGTCCGTTAGTTAGATGTCTGTCACTGCGGCCTCGTGTGTTGTCCGTTAGAGTAGATATCTGTCACTGTGACCGTGTGTGTTCCGTTAGAGTAGATGTCTGTCACTGCGGCCGTGTGTTGTCCGTTAGTTAGATGTCTGTCACTGCAGCCTCATGTGTTGTCCGTTAGTGTACATGTCTGTCACTGTGGGTGTGTGTTCCGTTAGTGTAGATGTCTGTCACTGTGGCCGTGTTTGTTCCGTTAGTGTAGATGTCTGTCACTGCGGCCGTGTGTTGTCCGTTAGTGTAGATGTCTGTCACTGTGACCGTGTGTGTTCCGTTAGTATAGATGTCTGTCACTGTGGGCGTGTGTTGTCGGTTAGTGTAGATGTCTGTCACTGCGGTCGTGTATTGTCCGTTAGTGTAGATGTCTGTCACTGTGGGCGTGTGTTCCGTTAGTGTAGATGTCTGTCACTGTGACAGTGTGTGTTCCGTTAGTGTTGATGTCTGTCACTGTGACAGTGTGTGTGTTCCGTTAGCGTAGATGTCTCTCACTGCGGCCTCGTGTGTTGTCCGTTAGTGTAGATGTCTGCCACTGTGGGCGTGTGTTCCGTTAGTGTAGATGTCTGTGACTGTGACAGTGTGTGTTCCGTTAGTGTTGATGTCTGTGACTGTGACAGTGTGTGTGTTCCGTTAGCGTAGATGTCTCTCACTGTGGCCTCGTGTGTTGTCCGTTAGTGTAGATGTCTGCCACTGTGGGCGTGTGTTCCGTTAGTGTAGATGTCTCTCACTGTGACAGTGTGTGTTCCATTAGTGTAGATGTCTGTCACTGTGACCGTGTGTGTTCCGTTAGAGCAGATGTCTGTCACTGTGGCCTCATGTGTTGTCCGTTAGTGTAAATGTCTGTCACTGTGGGCGTGTGTTCCGTTAGTGTAGATGTCTGTCACTGCGCCCGTGTATTGTCCGTTAGTGTAGATGTCTGTCTGTCACTGTGGGTGTGTGTGTTCCGTTAGTGTAGATGTCTGTGACTGTGACAGTGTGTGTTCCGTTAGTGTTGATGTCTGTCAGTGTGACCGTGTGTGTTCCGTTAGTGTAGATGTCTGTCACTGTGGCCTCGTGTGTTGTCCGTTAGTGTACATATCTGTCACTGGGGCCTCGTGTGTTGTCCGTTAGTGTTGATGTCTGTCACTGTGACCGTGTGTGTTCCGTTAGTGTAAATGTCTCTCACTGCGGCCTCGTGTGTTGTCCGTTAGTGTAGATGTCTGTCACTGTGGGCGTGTGTGTTCCGTTAGTGTAGATGTCTGTCACTGTGACCGTGTGTGTTCGGTTAGTGTAGATGTCTCTCACTGTGGCCGTGTCTGTTCCGTTAGTGTAGATGTCTGTCAGTGTGGACGAGTGTGTTCCGTTAGTGCAGATGTCTGTCACTGTGGCCGTGTGTGTTCCGTTAGTGCAGATGTCTGTCACCGTCGCCGTGTGTCGTCCATTATTGTAGATGTCTATCACTGTGGCCGCGTGTGGTCCGTTAGTGTAGATGTCTGTCACTATGGCCCGTTAGTGTAGATGTCTGACAACTAGGCCGTGCGTTGTCCGTTTGTGTAGATGTCGGACTCCGTGGCCTCGAGTGTCGTCCGTTAGTGTAGATGTCTGTCACTCTGGCCTCGGGTGTTGTCCGTCACTGTGCCCGTGCGTAGTCCGTTATTGTAGATGTATGACTCTGTGGCCTCATGAGTTGTCCGTTAGTGCGGATGTCTGTCACTGTGGCCGTGTGTTGTCCGTTAGTGTAGATGTCTGTCATTGTGACCGTGTGTGTTCCGTTAGTGTAGATCTATGTCACTGTGGACGTGTGTTGTCCGTTAGTGCAGATGTCTTTCACTGCGGCCTCGTGTGTTGTCCGTTAGTGTAGATGTCTGTCACTGTGGGTGTGTGTGTTCCGTTAGTGTAGATGTCTGTCACTGTGGCCGTGTGTGTTCCGTTAGTGTAGATGTCTCTCACTGTGGCCGTGTCTGATCCGTTAGTGTAGATGTCTGTCAGTGTGGACGAGTGTATTCCGTTAGTGTAGATGTCTGTCACTGTGGGCGTGTGTTCCGTTAGTGTAGATGTCTGTCACTGTGGCTGCGTGTATTCCGTTAGTGCAGATGTCTGTCACTGTGGCCGTGTGTTCCATTAGTGTAGATGTCTGTCACTGTGGATCCGTGAAGATCCGGGATAGAATAGATCTTCAGCAACCCATTCTTGTCATAACAGTGTGTGTTCCATTACTGTAGATGTCTGTGACTGTGGCCTCGTGTGTTGTCCGTTAATGTAAATGTCTGACACCTTGGCCGTGTGTTGTCCGTTTGTGTAGATGTCTGACTCTGTGGCCTCGTGTGTTGTCCGTTAATGTAAATGTCTGACACCTTGGCCGTGTGTTGTCCGTTTGTGTAGATGTCTGACTCTGTGGCCTCAAGTGTTGTCCGTCAGTGTAGATGTCTGTCCCTGTGGCCGTGTGTGTTCCATAATTGTGAAGATGTCTGTTACTGAGGCCGTGTGATGTCCGTTAGTGCAGATGTCTGTCACTGTGCCCTCGTTAGTTTTCCGTTAGTGCAGATGTCTCTCACTTTGG